GTGAGATTAATTGTGGATGCTGCTCTGGAATTCTGGCTAGCATGAATATAGATGTCGAGCTTTGTGGATTACAACAGCCGCTAATGAAGTAGTAAAGTATCACTTCCAGTTTATTGCTTGTTTTGCTACTTCAGTTTTCTCCTCTTCTGTGGCCTGAAAGCAGGAATCCTAAAATCGCAAGGTTTTCCTAATGTGTAATGAAGCGAGGGGACTTTACCTGCTCTGAGATACTTGCTGTGTAGCCATAAAGGCCCAAGACTGGGATTTAGGAAGGAGGGAGAGATAGGGTGGAACAGAACTGCACAAAGACAGCCTGTGATAGAGGTTTGGAGATTTTTATCTCCAACTCAAGAGTCATAATTTTTCTTTTATTGGATTGTGGTTATTAATTGGCTGGGGGCAAAAAAAACCCAACCATCTGGCTTTGTATCTGTGGCTTACTAGCAGCAGAAAATGCACAGATCAGCAGATAAAGTGAGAAGCAGTTACGGGCAATTAACGCAGGTCAAATTACTCTGAAACACAACAGGACGGATCAGTTAGGGAAGGAAGAATGCCAGTAAAATTCTGCACTCTTCAGGTTTTGTGCCTTAGAAATTACTCTTTGTTTTTGTTTCTGTTATTGTTGGCCACTTTGTTCTTGGATATATGCCCCAAAGCTGTTTCACCGTCCTGTATAAGAAATCTGTATTATTGGGGGGAAAATACTTATTTGTAAAAATATTGGCCAGCTGCTTTGAACTTGATACTTGTGATAAGGAAATTTAGAACTGGAGTCCAAAAGCCTAGGACTCTATGCCCATTGCCCTAAGAAGTTTAATCTTCTTAAATGTTTTGTCTGCAATCACAAATAACCATTAAAAGACTTTCACAGATTTCTTAAGCATGTCTTGGGAACTTATTCTGGGTTCGTAACATGTAATTTTTTTTTTTCTCTTTATGGTTGGCTAGGAGTTGAGCAAACTCCTCTCCAATCATTCATCACCTGGGCCTGACACCTGAAGTTCAACTAAATTATTGGCATTGGTATCTTTGATTAATTGATCATTGCTATTGAGAGATCTAAATGGATATCTTCCTTAGGTAGCTCTTATTTTTCCTTTGCCCTCTCCCTCAAGCAAATTATTCTTTTCAGCAATCTAAACATTATAACTCCTAAGGTCACAAATGGATGAAAGATATACATAATACAACAGTGTTTTGTAACCTGAAAGGCTTTAAAATCTGTGAACTTCTAATTTCAGAACTCTGGGAATTGAAATCCATACATCTTAAAGTTATGATGGTTGAGAAACACTGCGGTAGAGAACATCAGAATCAGCAAGCTAGCCTCTCAGTCTGCTTGTGGAGGCTATTTAGCTATTTGTGTATGTGTGTGTGTCTACTTGACTGCATTTATTAAAATGCTGATTCCTGCATATATGGGCAAATGCAAAACAACAATGCCTTGGAGGATGGAACCCAGAATGTTGTTATGGAGGAAGATCCAGTTACCCTGTACCTCGAAATCCTGTATATCTATTGAGAGCCAGTTTGGCCTAGTGATTAACGTGCCAGCCTAGAAACCAGAAGGTTATGAGTTCTAGTTCTCCCTTAGGCCTGAAAACAAGCTGGGTGACTTTGGGCCAGTCACTCTCTCTTAGCTTAACCTACTTCACAGGGTTGCTGTTGGGGAAAACTAGGAGGATGTATTGCCGCCTTGAGTTATTTAACAGCGTTTGCCACCTTGAGTTATTTAACAATAATGAAGGGATAAAAATCTAATTAAAAATATCTCAACCACTTCAAACAGGAACTTCTAAGAGCCCTTTTTTTAATGGGAAAGAATCTCCTCATTTTGGATGAGCAGGAAGTTGAGGTAATATTAGTTCCTGGCAGTTTCTAATCATCTTTCTGGTTGCCCCCTATCTAAGGAGTTAAAATAATTGTCCAACTTCACTTAAATCTTACATTTATTCTCCAGAGAGCTATGTCTGCAGTGTACGAAAGAGTGGACTGAGCTCTAATTATACTGAAGAACTGTCCTGGCACACAGTTTTGGCAGCAACAGAGCAAGCGTGCTGGCCACGTGACCTCCATCGATCTCTACTATTTTCCCATTTTCCATAGCTGTTTTAACTCCAGGAGCTGGGCATTATTAAACAAATGATCTTTTTTTGCCTTAGGGAGGCTGGGCTAATTCATCTGTTCATTCATTGGCAGAGATTAAGGCTATATTTTAAAAGAGGCTTTTCAGACTAGTCTAGCCACTCCTTTGCTTCCTTGGCTCTGCTGCAGTAACAAAGCTTTTCCCAAAACAAACAAACAAACAAATACACACACACACACACACACACACACACACAACCTCCCAGTCAGGTATTAATGGCATTGAGCAGCTTTTCTTTTAAAGTAGTAAGAACAATCTGGAAACAGTCCAAATATACCTGCTTTTTCAAACATGTAGTTTTTACAAGTCTGTGGTAGCAACCAATTATGGTTGGCATTAACTGGCTATGTTTTTTAATCAACTTTAAAAGCCCACCAGAAGGGTTTTCTCTCTCTCTCTCTCTCTCTCTCTCTCGGCTCTACTTTCTTTCTTTTTTGAATATGTTTTATTGGTTAGGTTCTTCTTTCTTAGGAACTTGCTTATAAGAGGACCCCAGTGAACTCAGTGAAACTTACTTCAGAGCCAAACTGCTTGCCCTTCCCTCATTCCCAAGAAGTATGATGAATGGTCAAAGCTGGTGCAAGTTTATAAGCCAAAACGTTTAGATGGTGCTAAACTAGATTGAGATGCTCTCGAATAACATGCGTTGATTTCCTATACATGCAGTCAAGTGTGTCTTACACCACAATAGAGCCCCAAATTTCCATTGCTAAACCAAGACTGAATTTTGAATTTTGTCTCATTTGCCACAGTTAAATAAATCACTGCAGCTTGTAACACGGTTAAGTGAATTCGGCTTCCCCATTGACTTCGCTTATCAGAAGGTTGCAAAAGGTTGATCGCGTGTCCCTGGGACATTGCAACAGTCATAAGTGTGAAAAATGGTCATAAGTCACTTTTTCCAGTGCTGTTGTAACTTCAGATGGTCACTAAACAAATGGTGGTAAGTCGAGGAGTACACGTGTAAGAGAATGAACAGGTTGTACCTACAAGTTGGGGGAGAATTGGAGAAATCCATTTTGCTATCTGACTTAACATAACAGATTATCAGAGTTGGAAGGGACCTTGTAGGTCATCTAGTCCAACCCCACCACCCAAGTGGGAGACCCTACACCATTTCTGACAAATGGCAGTCCAATCTCTTCTTGAAAGTCTCAAGTGATGGCGCTCCCACAATTTCTGAAGGGCAAGGTGTTCCACTGGTTGATTGTTCTCACTGTCAGAAAGTTTCTCCTTGTTTCCAGGTTAAATCTCTCTTTGTTCAGTTTCCATCCATTATTCCTTGTCTGGCCTACAGAAATATATAGTATATGGCACCAAAAATGCTTTCATGAAAGAGAATTCCCTTTGCCCCATCCCACGTTACTTTGTGTACGTCTTACATTGTCACTGGAGATAAAACAGAACCACAAAATTGAAGACATACCATCCACAGATGACACACAGGCAGGTATTTCATATGGTATAATTTTACTAAAGAACATCTGTATACTGGTGGAAAAGTCTGGCAGGCACCTGGGCTTCCCTCACCATTCTAGGCAGCACCCATCACTTTCCTATATCTGCTGGGACAATAAAAGTGCTCCAAATGGGAAAAGCATGGGGAGGACCTGGCACACGCGTGTGCATTTTGCATGCAGAGGTGCATACATTCGTCAGACTGTTGGGCCCAGTTCCCTGATGTTCATCAGCAATCTAGCCAATCCTTGACTTCACTGTAGCTCCAGCACCCTACATTCCTTGTTTAGATGAACCAAGATGAAGGCAATAATGGCAATTAAATACGATCTAGAAGTTCTCCAGGGCCGGGTGTCAAAAGGAAGACACACTTCCAAGCATGAGCAGATGTTGCTGAGGGAGAACTGCCAATATTCGTAGAAACAACTCCCAAGCTCACCTTCTCGAATCAGGCAATGCCCGTCCCCTCCTATTCAAGGAACGGTGCTTGCTTTCATAAGAGGCGTATCTCATGGTTAATTAATTACCAGCTGGACAAGGAAGTCACCTGATATATGTTCTCTCTCTCCTGTCTCTAGCAATAGCCTATATCTGAATAAGGGCTCCACCTTCACCTTCCAAAAAATTTCCCTTTGAATTTAAACCTCCACCTCCATCCTTGCATCACTCTTCACCTTTACATGGATGTGGCCCCGCTGGGACTCCGCTCTGTCCCATGATTGTACAGGAATGATGGCAGAGGTTAAAATGAGGCCTGGTTATGATGCACGATATGGCTATCGTTAGAGCCAGCCAGGTTGGGCATTTGTGGGGTTGCTTGTATTGGCAGCCAGAATCAGATCGGGAAAGTATGTTAAGTGATTTTGATAACGAATGTACATAATCGATGCACTCCGGTCCAACAGTATGGAACTCTTTGGGGTTACAGGAAATAACTTTTTGTCATAAACAAAATGCTTAGAAGACTCAATTATCTGCTGCAGGAAGACTGTGCTACAGACTGGCTTGCAATAAATAGACCCTTTTGCAAACAATCAGGTTGTAGCAAAAGCGGGGGGAAAAATGTCCTTGTAAAGAAGACCCTTGTGAATTATGGTAGGACTGTCAGTAACGGAATACAATTGCCACATCATAACTCAACTCTACACAAAATTGGTGTCCCTGAATGCTGTTTCTACTGGTATCTGTATCTACTGGTATCTGTATCTACTGGTATCTGTACCTAGGTAAGTTTACAGAGGAGCAAAAACTAACCAGTTTTCAATGCTCCTTTTAGTCTGAATTTCTTCTCGCTCTGTTTCCTGCAAGCATCCACGGCATGCAGAGAAAGAGTTTGGGTTTACAACAACCATACTTCCAGTTGCTCTCTTCCCAAGTAGTGACACTTGAAGAGTGGATGTGGGTATCCTTGGGATTCCCTACTTCTAAAATAAGTCTCCAGATTTTCCACTTGGGATTCCAGGCTCCAGGGGAAGCAGATGGACAGACATGAAGATATTTTACAAAGACTAGGGATTATTATTCCTTTTCCTTCCTTTCTTTTTTTGGGAAAAAAAAAGCCCCTTCCCAGCCAGCTGTACAGAGTCCCCACCACCAGATGCCCATTCCCACCCCCGGCTACCCAAGCAAAGGCCCAACTCTCCCTTTCTCCAGATGTCTGTAAGGTCCTTCACTTGTAGAGCAAGTGGACACGGCTCCCATCACAGTTGTTGCGTCCCAGCTTGTCAGCCTGCTCCGCTACCAGGCAACGGACGAGAGGCAGGCTGGGCTGGTAGAGGTTGGGGCCAGTGGCTGCAGAAGCTGAAGCCGAGTTGTTGAAATGGTTGTCAGCTGCACAGTTGGAGGAGCGCCGCCGGGAACGCAGTTGCTGCCGCTCTTTCAGCTGCTGCTGGAGCTCCGAGACACGCTCTTCTTTCTGTCGGGGAGGAAGGAAAGAGGGAGGGAGGGAGGGGGGTCTATGAAGTATTGGGACAGGAGCCCCCATTGGAAGGGATGGATGTTGGCACGGGAGGACTTGATCATATGCTATGCTATGTGTTGACTGTAAAGGACCACATAATAGATTTGTTCTCAACTTGGTCCTTTAGATCAGTGGCCCCCAACCTTTTTTGTGCCACGGCCCGGTACCGGCATCACAAAATGATCCATGGCCCGGTACCAGCATCAGCACGCATGACAAGGCAAGGCGAGCCGAGCGACCGGCCAGCCAGCCGTCCCACGCTTCTCCCCGCCACCTTCAACTCCTCCTTTGTACCTTTGTCAACGGGCTTCACTTCAGGACGGCTTCGGGACGGTCGCTCGGCTCTCCTTGCCTTGGGTGCTGAAAGAATCCTCGCGCCTTAGTTTTGTTTGAAGCTACCCCCCCTTCAATGAAACTAAGGCGCGAGGATTCCTTCAGGACCCAAACGCCGCTTTCCAACCGGAAAAGCTCACCCGGAAGCACTTTCTCGTCAAACAAGATGGCGGCACCCAGCAAACCGGCGGCCCGGTAGGAAATGTTCCACGGACCAGTACCGGTCCGCGGCCCGGTGGTTGGGGACCCCTGCTTTAGATGAGCCACGGCGGCGCAGTGGTTAGAGTGCAGTACTGCAGGCTACTACTTCTGCCGACTGCTGTCTGCCTGCAATTTGGCAGATCGAATCTCACCAGGCTCAAGGTTGACTCAGCCTGCCAGCCTTCCGAGGTGGGTAAAATGAGGACCCAGATTGTTGGGGGCAATATATAAACCACTTAGAGAGTTCTGTAAAGCGATATATAAGTCTGCTATTGCTATTAGTTACAAGGAGGAGGCAGCTGCAATCCTCCCCACACACAAAAAAGACCACCCCAGAACCAAATTCACTTCTAAGGAGGCTGCCCAGCAATCAAAAGGGAAGTCAGTTCTCCTGCTGTTTTATGCTCAGTTCTGTAGACTTCTAAAATAGTATATTCTAAGAAGAGTATGGAGGGGGCTCATGAATGGTAAGCAGGGTTGAGTGCCACGCTCTTAATCTTTATAGGTGGCCAATTTGCACCTCCAGGGTTGCCTTCTCCACCAATGACCACTGGAAACACAGTGGAGTCTCCCACAATTTTGAGGAGAGAAACCCATCTCCCTTCTCTCAGGTAGAAAGTAATTCCATGCCGTCGAGAGGTGGGCTGCGGCTGGTTCACACTGGTTCTGGCAGACCGGGAGTTAAGATTAAGTGCAGTTCAGTGAACTGGCAAATCCTGGCTAGCCCTGCCCCTGCCCATTTATTGGCCTGGTTTGGGGGCCGTTTTCAGACCATTTTTCAGGCAGTTTGGGGGGCGTTTTCAGACCGTTTTCCAGGCCAAAAATGGCCCCCAAACTGCATGTTTTTTGGACCATTTTCAAGCCATTTTGGGTGCCATTTTCAGGCCTTTTTGGACTGAAAAATGGCCTGAAAACAGCCCAGAAAACAGCCTGAAAGTGTCACAAAAAAACAGGCCAAAAAACAGGCTGAAAAATTGGGCGCGGGGCCAGCCAGTGGTGGGATTAGCTGCAACTGGCTGAATCCTACCTGTTCCTTTGAGGCAAGTGGCTTGGGAGGTGGGGCTGGGTGTGATGAGTGACATCACCTACCCAGTCACATAACCAACCGGCCACACCTACCCAGCCAGAGAACCGGTCATTAAAATAATTGCAGCCCAGCACTGATGCCATCTCCCATCATGGCTTTGCTCTCTGCCCCACGTGTTCTCCCTCTGGATCCAAGAAAGTTCCTACTGTGCATTATAAGCTTGTGCAGGAAATATAAGGGAAATTCAAGGAAGGGCCAAACGTCCCTTCCTTACTGCCCCCTGCCAAGTCACACAGGGTTCCCACCTCGGCAATGATCTTCTCCAGTTCACGGTTCTCCTTCTCCAGCATCCGTGATTTCTCCTCCTCATTGTTGTTGGTGGAGGAGCCAGTTTTCATGGTGTCCTGCTGCTCAGACTGCCATTCTCCCCGGGTGATAAGGCGCCGCATCTGAAACGAGAACCACAGTTCCGCAATTCATGGCTAGGGAAGGGCCGCGCAAGACAGCCAGAACAGGAAGACTGGACATACTTCTCTACTTTTTCAGCTCCCTTCCTGAGAAGGCCATTGTCTGGGATGGGCTAGAGCAGATCTGGGCATTTTACAGCCCCCAAGTCACATCTAGCTCTTTGGCTGTCCCTGTCCAGCCCATGTGAAGTCAATCAAAAATTAGAAATCAAATGTAGGCCACGCATGCAATATAACTGCATTGCTTTTATTTTTTCCTCAATTTAAGTATTGCATGCATGCGTGCCTGTGCACCTTCGCGGCCTTTTTGGTTTGGCCCTCTACCACAGTCCCAGTTTCAGGTGGCCCCTTTGGGAAAATTAATTGTCCATCCCTGAGCTAGAGAATGACTTAAGCAGTGTCAGAAGGGAAGTAGGGTACTTACCTTGGGCACAAACAACACAACCAGTGTGATGTAAGAGGAGAAGACAATGGCAAGGGAGGCGAAGGCGAAGGCAGCATCCTGTTGACTGCTGAGGATCATGGTCACGGGGGCCGTGATAAGACACAGCACCTACAAAAGGGAGAGGCTCCAGGCTGTTAGCTTACACCGGAAAGCACACCCAGGAAGTCTTACAGCAGGATTTTACAACCTTGACAAATATAAGGCGGGTGGACTTCAACTCTCAGAATTCTCTAGCCTTTGAAGGAATTGCCAGGAAATTTGCTTCTAGCCCTTAAGGCTCACCCAGCCCCTATGGCCAAAGAGAGATAATAAATGCCCTTGACATCCTCCAACAGGACAGGTTGTCTTCCGGAAAGCAGATGGTTATTGCTGCAGCTCTAAGCGCTGGGAAGCAAAGCTTCCTGACTGAGCTGCAGCCAGACGCTAGGAAGCTCCTCGCCAAACCCCACTGGGCTGGCCACAATAGGAAGTCAACTCTACAGGAAGGTTAAAACTGCTTTTATTGAGATTGACTATAATAACAGAATTGTCCAACTCTCACTGTATCTCCTACTCCTTCTAAATATACTATAAATTTAGAATTATAAGTTCTAAATATTTTAAATTTGGTGAATATACTAAATAAAGTACATTTACCCTTGTAGTATGGCTGTAATTTTATTATTATCCTTCTCATCTTTTTTACTACCTTCTATCATTATTATTCTATTGTTTTGCATGTACATTGACAGCTTATGCGCCAGAGACAAATTCCTTGTGTGTCTAATCACAGTTGGCCAAATAAAGTTTCCTATCCCATCCCATTCTTCACTCCAGTCCATTCTATTCTTATTGTTCAGTGAATCTGCCACTTCCAAACATTATATAGACATCCTGAAATTAGAAAATAGATTTACCTCTTGTTACCTTGGCAACAGAGCTTGCAGATATATGAAGATCATCTTCCTTCCACTTTACAAAAAGAGATTTATATTGACTGTTTCCTAGTATGATTTGATTGCTTATTGTACCCTATGAGTATCATTAAGTGTTGTACCTTATGATTCTTGACAAATGTATCTTTTCTTTTTATGTACGCTGACAACAGATACACCAAGACAAATTCCTTGTCCAATAAAGAATTCATTCATTCATTCATTCATTCATTCATTCATTCATTCATTCATATCTTACATGCAACCTCCAGTGTGAGACTAAGAAGCCCAAAACAAGACAACTGCCTGATAAATTAGAAGTGGCCCAATCCCCATTCTGATCACGGCTAAGGCAGAAGCGTTGGCCCAAATCTTCTTCCTTCTCTTTAGACTGAAGAGAAACTCTTCTAATTACTTGTCCTCTCAACCTCACCGATGCACTCAGGTAGTCAACTGGCAGAGAGGATTGTCAATCATTGGAAACAACAAACCACTTACAGCCACATTATAGATTGCCATGCCCACAGCCCGGTGGTCATTGATCTTCTCTGTGGAGACTCCCTTTGTCTCATAGGCCAGGAAGATGCCTAAAAGCAGCAGCAGCCCCTTGAAGCCATAGAAGATACCTGTGGGGAGGGAGGAACGTGAAGGTGGTGGAAGGGGAAGAGGTCCCAATGGGAGAGTGGGTGTAGGGGGGGAACACAACCCTAGGAAGGGTGGCCGTAGATTCTGCCCCTCCCCCCAATTCACTCTCTCACTCTTTGGGGAGTAGATAACTCACTTCTTTTAAGAAACACTTAAAGAAGCTTACAAGAAAAAAAGCAACACATAATAATAAAGCAAGAATCAAAAAGAAAATTTAAAAACACAAATTTTAACAGGACTTTAAACCAGCCTCCCTCATTGATTAAATATCCCCAAACTTCCAGGTACCCCAGTTGCTGGTCACTGTAGTCAAAGTATTAGATGGGGGAAGGCTTGTCTAATCAGTTTCCAAACAGCATGAAAAACAAACCCTGCGACGATCATTGAGTACAAACCAAATATAACCAAGAGAGAGGGCACCAAATGGTATGCAATTCATGCCCAATATTCTTGGCAGGGCCACCTGGCTGACTCTGTCTCCAGAATCTCGCTCAATCCCAGTCTGTGTCTCCAGCCTTATCACCTACATGGTTTTTCAACCCTCCTTCAGCATTTCCTCCCCGATTTTCTAAGACAGTCCATTTTACTTGGAATGGTAAAATACACGTGTGCAGACAGAACACCTGCGGGGAGATTGGGCAGTAGACAAGAAACCCAAAACTATTCAGGACGCCAAGCCTCGTTCCGGAATCCAAGAAAGTGACCAGGTTGTCCAGTTCTAAACTAAGGCAAGATTGGGCAGGGTTGCAGGGCTAGCCAAGGAAAGGAAAGGACACCGAAACCTTGGGATGAGCGGAAGTGGGCTTGGGACAAACACCCTTCTTTTCCCGGAGAGACTCACCCAGCCAGGTGTTCATCTTTTCGGAACTGCAGTGCTCCAGCTTGGGTAGGATCAGCACGTCAATGTCACTTTTAGGCTCCTCTTTGGTAAATTCCTGAGTGGGGGGGGGAAACAGGATGAAGACATTGGAAGCAGAAGAGCCAAAAATAAAATACTATATTATAAATTATATCTATCTATCTATCTATCTATCTATCTATCTATCTATCTATCTATCTATCTATCTATCTATCTATCTACCTATCATCTTTAAAACTTTAAAAGCACAACTATAATGACGTGGGAAAATACCCGAACAAAGCTGAATATCATACATGTAAGTACCCCCGAACGTCATTATAGTTGTGCTTTTAAAGTTGTAGCAACGTTTCAGCAGAATCTCATCTGCCATTATCAGGCTTCTGTATTGTGTTCGTCTAAATTTTATATATATATATATATATATATATATTTGTTTTCTGAGGTTCTCGCGGGTATTTGTATGTGGATCTTTGGTTGTTCGGGTTTTCTCCCGCGTAAGATTCAAAGTATCTAGGCAACGTTTCGATGAAGTCTCATTCATCATCATCAGGCCTCTGTCTTTGGCTCTGTGCTTCTCAGAGTAATGGAGATTGCAGCTGCTTCCTCCTTTTAACTGCCAGTGGGGGTGGGACTTGATTGGGTGGGGGCTTGGCTGTGTTCTGATTGGGTGGGGGTGTGTTCTCATTGGTAGGGGGTTTGGCTGTGTTCTGATTGGTTGGGGGGTTAGCCGTGTTCTGATTGGTTGGAGGCGTGTTCTGTTCAGGTGGGGGCTTGGTTGTGCTCAGGTTAGTCTTAGTTGCTGGGGGATTTGAGCTGGAGAGTTGTGATCTTGCTGTTTGGCTTCTAGTTCGTGGTCCTGCTGCATCTTCATAGTGGGTGTCGGTTTGCTTCATGTATGGCTCAGAGGGGTTTGAAGTGGGTAGTGATGCAGCTGCAGTGCAGCTTCTGGTCCATGGTCGTTTCTCATTTTCTGAATGGGTGGGAGTCTGTTTTCTACATGGAAGTGTGGTGGTGGCATCTTGTGTGGCTCTCATGGGTGTGGGTCTGGTGTCCTTCTTCATGTTAGGTACTCGTCTGTTCATGAGGGCGGGTTTCCAAATGGCTGGAAGGCGGGAGGTGTCATCTCGTTTGTTCATGCTGTGTGGGCGTTTTTCTATCTCTATGGCTTCTCTGATTATTCTGCTGTTGAAGTGTTCGGTTTTGGCGATAGTTCTGGTATTTTTAAAATCAATTTCATGTCCTGTGGCTTTGAGGTGTTGGACCAGGGAAGAGGTCGTTTCTTCTTTTTTGATTGAGTTCTTATGTTCTTCAATGCGTGCACTTATTCTTCTGTTAGTTTGTCCAATGTATGTGGTAGGACAGGCAGTGCAGGGGATTTCGTATACTCCTTGGTTTTCTAATTCGATTTTGTCTTTGGGGTTTCTTAGGATGGTGGATATTTTTCTGTTTGTGCAGAATGCTGTTTTGATGTTGTGTTTTTGGAGGATCTTGCTAATTTTGTCTGTAGTGCCTTTTATATATGGGAGTGTCTTGGCTACGGAATTGATCTGTGCTGGGTGGTGGTGTGAGAGTGCATGTAGATAGCGGTTAGTA